TGCATATTCATTACGTCATAAATAAATTTGTGCAAGAAATGAACGCAACTGACTAATCCTGAATACGAACCCGTATGCCGATTACACAGTACCCATTGATAATCGTTACTCTATTAACAAATACATTTATTGCAATGTCAAAGTTGTAACACCACTGGTCTGTGGAACAGACTCCCAAGAGGATGTTTCCCCGGTCATTACAATCTTAACCTGTTCAAGCCTAGATTTAATCGTCATCTCCCCACCTCCTATCCACATAAACTACTCCTTAACGTAAGCTTTTATGGGTATGTGGTTAGAAAATTCTCTTTCTGACCATAAGACCCAAGTTCGAATCTCAACATGGTCGATTTGTCAGGAAGGTAACTTCTGTATACGGCGCCTTTGGAAAGTGCCCGAAACGTACCACGATTGACCCAAACCTTGTGAGTGAAATTGGGTAGGCGAAAAAAATTGGAACAGTCAGTGGTTGTGCTAGCACGAAGTAACAAGTCAGCGTGACAGAGGTTTTGAGAGTGCTAATTTCGTTCAAATTGCTGATCACGCTCTCTCTTTCTCAGAAACTGTACCTAACTTTCTATAAGCATAGATGCAGTACAAGCCACAGATGAGAGTTGAACAAACACCCACCTGTGGAACAAAGCGTCCTATATATAATCTAACAGTGATCTCATCTCACAATCCACACACTTGCTCCATATGTGACCTCCTTTGTAAATAACTAGCGGGTCTTAAATGCCACTTAGGATTATCGCACAAACTTACATAACTGAATCAATGAGATGTCAGATCCTCATACGTCGAAACCGACAGGAGAGTCCATTATTATTATTATTATTATTATTATATATATATATATATATATATATATATATATATATATATATAACTTCATATCTCTGTCTATCTTTCTCCATATGTTCATCTATCTATCTATCTATCTATTTAAATCCCTTCATATCTATCCGTATATTTATCTATCTCTGTATGCTCATATCTATCTATCTATCTATCTATCTATCTATCTATCTATCTATCTATCTATCTATATATATATATATATATATATATAGATAGATAGATAGATAGAACTGTAAGTTCTATGTTATCAGTTTCTTCTCTCGTACCTCACCCTTGAGAAGATATCTTTTAGCTTCTTATCTTTCAGTCGTCTTCGATCTTCAAAAATTTAACGATACATTAGACCAACTTTCCTAGCGGCATCCTCTGCGTAACCTTCTACCTCGAATGGCTCTTGGGCCTTGTACAGGGTGAAACTTATTTTGAAATTATTCATGCTGCTCATGAGAGTAGAACAGCGCCCCGAAGGAGTCGTTACTGTCGGTGTTAAGATTCAATGAGCTGGTCGTTAACCGATTTTAATTATGGGAAGAAGGGCAAGAGGCTTTCAAGGCCTGCTCACCAAATGTGCATTACTTTTGAAAAAATTAATTTGTTTCCTGGGTTTAAATTGAGGAAGAGGGCTTCATTAAATTTAATACCTATCAAGGTATTAGTTTCATATTTTATAAATAAAAATTTAGCAAAAATGTAATTAAAACAGTGTGTTGATTTTCTGGTGAAAAGTTGATTTCGGCGTACCGAATTGGTTTCAAGCGGCACCACTAACAATCCAGCATTCATGGTGACGGATATCCTGGGAGTTATTGATCTGGTGCGCCTTGAACCTGATTGATGTAGGCAGAGGTAGATATGAACTTAGATAGATAGATAGATAGATAGATATGAGCAGTATATATATATATATATATATATATATATATATATATATATATATATATATATATATATATATATATAGAGAGAGAGAGAGAGAGAGAGAGAGAGGTAGATACATATGAACATATGGAGATAGATAGATATGAACAGAATTAGATAGCTAGCTATATATATATATATATATATATATATAGGTAGATAGATAAATAGATAGATATGAGCAGAATTAGATAGATAGATAGATAGATGTGAGCAGAATTAGATAGATAGATAGATAGATAGATAGATAGATAGATAGATAGATAGATATGAGCAGAATTAGATAGATAGATAAATGGATAGATAGATAGATGTGAGCAGAATCAGATAGATAGATAGATAGATAGATAGATAGATAGATAGATAGATGTGAGCAGAATTAGATAGATAGATAGATAGATAGATAGATAGATAGATAGATAGATAGATATGAGCAGAATTAGATAGATAAATAGATAGATAGATGTGAGCAGAATTAGATAGATAGATAGATAGATAGATATGAGCAGAATTAGATAGATAGATAAATGGATAGATAGATAGATGTGAGCAGAATCAGATAGATAGATAGATAGATAGATAGATAGATAGATATGAGCAGAATTAGATAGATAGATAGATGTGAGCAGAATTAGATAGATAGATAGATAGATAGATATGAGCAGAATTAGATAGATAAATAGATAGATAGATGTGAGCAGAATTAGATAGATAGATAGATAGATAGATAGATAGATAGATATGAGCAGAATTAGATAGATAAATAGATAGATAGATAGATAGATATGAGCAGAATTAGATAGATAGATAGATAAATAGATAGATAGATAGATGTGAGCAGAATTAGATAGATAGATAGATATATAGATAGATAGATAGATGTGAGCAGAATTAGATAGATAGATAGATAGATGTGAGCAGAATTAGATAGATAGATAGATAGATAGATAGATAGATAGATAGATAGATAGATATGAATCAGCCGGTCGAAAGTTTTCGTCATAGGTGCCAGTGTTAGATTTAAGGCAAAAATAGGTCTTTGTCTGGTTATTTTAAATACACGGAGTGGCGTTTTCCTACTTGAAATTTAACGAACACCAAATCTAGCAACTTCCACTTTTCCAACATTCCTCACAATGACTGTCTGAGATAAACTTACATGACATTTCAATATGCTATTTAGAATAAAGTAACACACACAGACTCTCACTCTCTCTCTCTTTCTCTCTCTATGACACATACACACACACAAATCTTTATATAATTCTATATATCGCTGTCTCCTCGTATCTATCTATCTATCTATGTTTCTATCTATCTAAGTCTCTTCATATCTATATATCTGTAATATGGTTCAACCCACCATATTGCAGACTCTCTAGCATTGATATAGGAAGTTTCTTTCTGAAATTAATTGATAAGCATTTTCACAGTAAACATCCACTACGTAAAATTTTCAATAGGAAGACTCTGAAAATTAGTTACTCATGCGTTAGAAATATGGAGAAAATCATATCTTCCCATAATTGTAGAATACTTAGAAAGTACCACAGTAATGAAACTCAATCTAGTAACCCTACATGCACTTGTAGGAATAAAGACCATTGTCCACTCGGGCGTAAATGTAAGTATGAAAATGTAATATACGAGGAAAATATAAACGAGTAAAAAGATACATAGGTATATCCGCCGGTGATTGGAAGTAGCGTCTATACAACCATAGACGCTCATTTAGATATAGATGCCTCAGAAGTGAAACTTCCTTATCCAAACACTACTGGGATGTGGTGGATAAGGGATTAACCCCAATTTTGAAATGGAGATACTTATCAAGAGCTAGAACACCTAATAACTTCCGCGATCAGTGTGATCTGTGCATGGCGGAAAAATCTTCATTATCAAAGATAAGAATCAAGATGAACTGCTGAATCTTCGTAATGAGATATTTTCTAAATGTAGACATAAGAAACGATTCAAAACATGAACACCGTTTTGTAACATGTCACTTATGTCAGTTCCATCTTGGTTCAATAACATCCGGCATGACATTTTAATGGAATGGCTATTACGTTTATTATGTTTATCTCTATAATGTATCTATGTATTTATTTTTGTATTTATTTATTTTTTACCGGTTTTCTTTTTTTTTTATACGCCCAAATGTTTGAAATGTTACTTATTTAGATTTTAAATGTTAATTTATATATATATATATATATGTGTGTGTGTGTGTGTGTGTGTATATATATATGTATATATATGTATGTGTGTATGTGTATATATATATATATGTATATATGTGTATATATATATGTATATATGTATGTATATATGTATATATATGCGTGTGTGTGTACTTAGCCGTGTGTGTATGTGTGTTTATATGTGTATATATGTAGGTGTGTGAATATAGGTATATGTATGTGTATGTATGGATGTACATGTATGTGTATATATGTATATTTGTGTATACGTATATGGATGTATGTATATGTAGATGGATGGATATATTTGTAGATGGATGTATATGTAGATGTGTGTATATATGTGTGTGTATGTTTTGGTATGTTTGTACTCATATATATTTGTATATGGGTGTATATGTACGTATATGATCAGCTTTCCTTTCAAAATAATCAAACATTTTTAGGAATACGTTTTGAAAGCGTCGCCCATGTGACGACAACGTGACCATGCTAAACGGAAAGCTGATCATTTTAAAAATTTTCAGTTATCTGTTTTGGATAAGACTTGTTGTTTATGTCCATCGTCTTTGTCAAATTGAACTGAATTGTATTTTAATGAATATTGTCTTGAAAAAGGTTTATTAAACCGAAACGTCAGACGTCGACATTTTATTCATTTTAAACAACATAATTGCATTTAAGGATTTTTGTTTGTTTTTTCCAAATTTTTCTTCATATATATATATGTATGTATCTAAATCTCTTCATATCTCTATCTTTCTCCATATGTTCATATTTCTTTATCTATCTATCTGTCTGTTTAAATCTCTTCATGTCTATCTGCATATTTATCTATCTCTATATGCTTATATCTATCTATCTATCTATCTATCTATCTATCTATCTATCTATATATATATATATATATATATGTGTGTGTGTGTGTGTGTGTGTGTGTGTGTGTGTGTGTGTGTGTGTGTGTGTGTGTAATTGTAATTGTTCTTATGCGTTTTCCTCTTTGTTACCTAGGCTTAAGTCGATAGCATGTTGAAACATCAGTTCCCTTATGATCACCGATATTAAGCAACGTCGAGCCTGGTTAATACTTAGATGGGTAACCTCTTGGGTATACCAGGTACTGTAAACTTGGAGGTGTTGGTGATGCAATGGATAATGGTTCGAAATTGTTAATCGGCGAGCGGAGTTCTAATTTCACTTGGGTCCGTTCTAGATATTTATGCGCAAATAGATAAAAAAAATGAATCAACCACCTCTCCCCACCTCCATTAATGGGTAAATTAGTAGAACGTAGGTCAAGAAATTGTTATTATCTCCCTTAGAAATTCTGACAATCTAAAATATTTTCTGGTGTTAACTAACCTACAAAGGATTGATAAGACGTAGAAAAAGAAACAAACTGTCTTTCTGAATTTAAACTCAGTACTAGATTGGCGGTCAGGGGTCATCATTTTAAAATTCAAATGGCTTCATGTAACCGTAAGTTCTATGTTATCAGTTTCTTCTCTCGTACCTCACGCTTGTGAAGACCTCTTCTAGCTTCTTTCTTTTCAGTCAAATTTAACGATATATTAGATCAACTTTCCTAGTGGCAGACTTAGCATTTGGAGCAATATAATCTTTCCTATTCTTATCACTGAAACAGGCTAGACCGAGTGTTGAAGCTTGAATAAGCATGGAATAATAATAATACAACACAAAATGTACGTAACAAAATGTATTGAAACAATGAAAAAAGGTACACAATATTTACAGGTAGTTTTGGTATATTCTTGGGAAGACTGTTCCTGCAGAATGGGTTGACTAAGTCGCAGTCGGGCAGAGTCTCTGGATTCGATCTCTTAATCTTCCGTCGTCTTCCGGTACCAACCCATATTTATATGGTCGGTACTCCACTTATGTAAATTAGGTGTATCATACACAACACCGAGATGTTACAATTAGTTATTCTGGAGCTTAGCATCAGCCATACTGATTGAAGGCAAAAAAAAGTTTCGTTAAGACAATTAAAAGAGTTCAGTTTATTTTGGTGGTCAGAAATAACTGCTTTAGAAGAAATGTTTTACGTTATTAATTGTTTGGAACCAAATATTGCCCCTTTGACGATATATGGAATTTGGTTAAAAAACAAACCAAAAAAAAAGTTTGAAAGGATCTTAACTAAACTGGTATCCTTCAGATATTGATATACACCTACTATAATTTTGAATTCTTCGAAAAAGACATTTGCACTAGACTTCTGTTTGCTTAGTGTGAATTCAAAGAGTTCATTTGTTCTGATTTGTTTCTATGAATTCGTCGTATACTTCTAAATGATGAAAGAGCCCTGTTATCAAATAACATAAAAGCATTCACATTTTCAGCTTAGGATATGTTTTTTACCGCATCCTCTTAGCTTAAAGAGATTAGCATCTTCAAGTTCTTTTCTAATCACAGATTCTTCAAAAAGAAAACAACACTAGTTGTACTCTTCTTGGCGGGAATCTCAGATTCTCCGAACAAGAATTTAAAAAAAAAAGAAAAAAGAAAAGAATAATTTTCACAGTGGGGTTTTTGTCACCGTTCAAAATGCTGATATTGTTGAGATATAAATTAAAAGTTTGTTAGACTCGAACATGATTTTAATCTATTTCCAAAAGTCCGCCATTATTATAATCCAACATCTTATGTAAATTATTAAGAAAAAACTCTTTCATATTTTCAGTCTCTAGTAAGCGAATGGCGCTTAAAGATTAGAAGGTAAAAAAAAATAAAATGGATGAAAGAATAAAAAGAGGGTGTTCTTGGGGCTTTAGACAAGATTCTTTTTTTTAAAACATCGTCAGATTGATTACGACGCTAAAATTCTCATTCTTTACACAAGGCTGTGATTGAAAATCCCTGATATACAGCTTTGGAGAAACATACCGATAATATCGGATCATTTCAATATATACAGGGAGCGATGGGCAAATTGTCACCATTTTATATCTTTAATTTCACGCATGCGCGTTGTTTGTTTGTTTGTTTTTTTTTTTGCTTTTTTTATTTTGTCGACTGCACAGTATAGTGGGGTCAGCTGGACACCGTCTGTGAGAAAAAAGAGCACCGTGACTCAATTCACTCTGTTACAATTTTGGAAATGCCATGCTGTACTGCTTGGCATTCGCACCGAAAACTCCAATACAAACATTTCAGAGTGTCTGGGTGTCAATCTGAGGGCAATGCAGAGGATTCGGAAAGAGTTGGGTGAGTCTAAAGGTGATTACGAAGGTACGGCAGCTCGGAAAACTCAATCTGATCGTTCTTATAAGAAAACAACTCCCGAATTTATTGGTGAGGGACTCAGACTCAACAGGCTTACATCTAGTGTCTTGAGGATGTAGTTCTGCTCTGGTTCAAGAGGGTGAGTGTTGGACGATCCTATATTTGGCAGCAGGACTTTGCAAGATGTCATACAAACAGGAGATTGAGTGTCAGACAATTTCTGCGACCATATTACCTCTTACATTTGGCTACCTAACTCCCCAGACTGCACTCCTTGATGTGTGGGGCGCAGGTGAGCGAGAGACCAACAAAACTCCTTGTAATATCAAAGATGAACTGAAGGCAAGGATTATGGAAGCATTCACCATCTCAAGCAAGGAGACCGTCGAGAAGAAATGCGGGAGATTTCAAAGTTGCCGGGGTTGAAGCCAATGGCGATTTTATTGAATAGATGTCTTCTTTCGTATTTCAAGATATTTTTGTGGAATTTTGGTAAATATATCTGTTAAAATGAAATATCAGTAGTGTTTCCATTTTGGCATAATTCATCCATCGCGCCCTGTATTTGGAATTAATCTCCGTTTTAAATAAATTCCAAACCTACACAAAAAAAAGCTCAGATAAATTCCGGCGTACGTGTGCAGTCCCTCATATAATGGCTACTGTCTTTTCTGTTTCCGTAATTTCAACAAACCGTGATTATATTGGGATAAACAATTCATGAATTTGAATTATTCGTCGACCCAAACCGCAAAAATGTCGATGCTGGCAATTCGAATACAGCAAAGCAATGGCACAAGAATTGTGAACGTTATCAAGGAGCAAAAAAATAATTTGATGCTGATAAGATCTACGTTAAGAACGAATATATCATCCATCAAGTGATTTTTATTATAATATGACTCAAATCTCATTACGCACAATAGCATATCAACAACTCTCTAACAATATAAAGCAGTAAAGGTATATCCTCTGTCGAACAGAAGATTCGTTCTTACCGTAGATTTTATTAGTCACAATAAAAGATGAACAAAATTAACTGATAATTAAATAGAACACTTAGAACAAAAGACTGCAATAAAATATGGCGGTTAAAATATTTGTTAGTTTCAATAATATATGTAATAAATGCGAATGTCACCGTGTCACACTTTTTTAATCAAAGGGAAACAACTCTCTAACGTCCAATAGCTCATGTTACAGAAATTTTAGATTCCCAAGTTTTCATTACTTTGATTGTTTTTGGCGAAATTTTTTTAACCTGATTTTTTACGACGAATTGTTTTGTACGATAACAATTTTTATAACTTGGAAATAAATTTCGGAATAGTCGAAATTAATTTTGACATCCAGGAAAAGTCCCCCATGAAATAAAAATAAAAATAAATATTCATGCGAAAAGTAAGGACCTACGTACATCAAATTGTCTTTAAGTGGTGGCAGAAGAATTATCGTTGAACTTTTAAAAGCTAAGCATAAATATTAATGTAATACTTAAATGCAGCGATCAATTTTGAGTTCTTCTGTAGTTTATTGTTGCCTATCGCATACGGCAGCAGTATGCCTTGCAAAAAGATATCTCCCACAACAGGGAACCAGATTGCAATCAAAAGGGCAAAGGCTACTGCAAGAAAAAAGAAAATGCCGTGCAAATGAAAACCCAGATCAAACGGCAGTAAGTAGAGCTTCCAGTGTTGAGGATATGCAAAGACTTAGGGACTCTCAAACTACTGAACAAGCCGAAGACCTAATCAAGAGCCCTTCACAGGAGCAAGCTTATCATTAAGTAGCTTTTATGCTACTTAATAATAAATTAGTACGGTATCTTGTAATGTGACATATTTCATTCTTATCACAGATCTTAGTTAACTTAAACACCAGATGTTTCTCTTTTTAAGTCGAGAAATTTGCCCTTTTAATTATCAGGAAACGCGGCTTGTCTTTGTAGAGTCTTCAATTTGATAGCATTGCTACTCTTTTTTATTTTATCAAGTAAATCTTACGAAATGTTTACACCTCAGGTTGACCGTGGGTAAATGAAACTGCGTAACCGGAAACCGCAAATAATTTCTAACTTGTGTATATTTTTTACTTACAAAAAGTTTTTGATATTATCCCCAAACGGATTTTGTCAAAAATAAAAGTTAACGAAACAGTCCTTACCGTTTTTGATTTATTATACAAAAGCTATACAGCAAATTTGACATAGTCCCCAAAGCAATCACCATCAGTATCGAAAATCATTGACCAACATGTCTCCACTTGAGCACTTCTCTGATGGTGAAAATCAGGTGTCTTGGACGCAAAGAAGTCTGTCATTTCCTGCGGCAAGACTGTCTCATTTGCGAAGGATTTCTCACGAAGGTCGTTCCCTTGAACCCCTGCTCTGTGGAACCGACTTCCAAGAGGGTGTTTTCCCGATCACAACAATCTTAACCTGTTCTCTAATATATTATCACGGTATCTTGCAATGTATTTCATTTTTATCAGAGTTATCTTAGTTAACCATCATATGTTTCTTTTTTTAAGTCGGGAAATTTACTCTTTTCATTATCAGGAAACACATTGCGACTTGTCAAATTGCTAGTATCTCTATTCTTTTTTACTTTTATCAAGTAAATCTTACGAAATGTTTCCACCTCAGGTTGACCGTGGTTAAATAAAACTGTCGGAGTTAGCTCCCCCTTAATTCCCTAGTTGTCACTAGGGGTCTCTCTCCCTACGCTATAAATACTGGGCGACTTATATAGTATATATATATATATATATACTAGCAGCATGGCCCGGCGTTGCCCGTGCTTGATTCAAAAATCGGACTTGCCTTTAAAGAAGTGTCCTTGCCGTGCTGATGTTGCTACATGTCTTACTTCTTGCCTATCT